TACATCCTCTTGAGGGCATTGGTCTCTTCTGCCCCCTGGATCATGAATCTGGTGTAAAACCTGGGAAGTTTGGCATTGGATGGAGATGAAAACAGGTCTACCACAGTAGTCTGAACAGATGTGTCAGCTCCTGAAATAAAAGGGGAAATACTCCACTCTGAAGAGTCAATCCTGGCCCTGCTAAGCTAGTTCACCTGCACATTTTCTACCCCCGAGATGTGTTCTGCCCTTATAGACAGGAGATTCCTCTCTGCCCAAAGAGCCAGACATTCAGCTTCCAAAATTAATTGATCTGGTGCCACCCTGCCTGTTAATGTGAGCTTTGGTGGTGACATTATCTGTTAAAATTAGGACATGTATGTTCTGGATAGTGTTTCTAAATTTCTTGAGAGCCCATTTTACCGCTCTCAATTCTAACTAATTGAAGTTCTTTCCTCTCTCTAAAACAGACCACTGGCCCTGAGTCAACTGTGACTGCAAATGAGCCCCCTAGCCTGAGAGACTGGCATCAGTAGTGATTACCATACAGTGTGGCTCTCTGAATAAGTGACCTTTGTGCAAAGCCTGAGAGGCCCACCATGACAAGGACTGCTTGACTGTCCCAGGAACAATGACTTTGAGAGACGAGTGACTTTTGCCCACCTTTTGGTGGGGCAAGAGAAACCACTGAAGCTTTCTAGAGTGTCATCTAGCCCAAGGCACTATGGAGATGCAAGAAATCATTTTCCCTAGGAGTTGTGATAAAAGTGCTAAAGGGGATTTATCCGTTCTCATGACCTCCCCCACCATGCTCTGTCCTTGCATTCCTGTGAAAGGAATACCTTGCAAGACAGTGTTAATCTTTGCTCCAAGATGCAATAAAAATCTGGTTGGTGAGAAATGGCTTTTCTTATGGTTAATTGAGAAACTATGGTCTTGTAACAGGGAGATCGTCGCTTGGAGATCCCTTAAGGCCCAGTCATGAGAGGATGATTGGATTAAAATGTCATCCAGGTAACACTGCACTCTTACTGGGATGGTCCTCAAGCAAGCTGCCAATGCAGCCAGGATCTTCGTGAATACCTTGGGTGCAGAAGATAAACTAAAGGACATAGCCCTACATTGGAAGTGTTTCCCAGTGTAGCTGAAGCGTAAGTGCTCTCTGTATGCCTGACAAATTCTGATATGCAGATAAGCCTCTGTTAAACCAATTGAGATAAGGAAGTCACCCTCCCTGACACTCTCCAGAATAGACTGTAGCGAATGCATCCAGAAACGCTTGTAAAACAAAAAATTATTGAGCCAGTTAAGGTCTAAAATGGCTCTCCATCCCCCAGAAGCCTTGGGAACAACAAACAGCTAGAAGTAGAATCCCTTACCCTGTTGACTCAGTGTAACTGCTTGGATGGCTTGACTATCCAGGAGGTGTTGGATGGCCTGTTGCATTAGCTTCCTACAAGATGCCTCCTTGGAAACAGGGCAAAGCAAGTAAAATCTGGGGGGTTGTGACCTAAATTCTAGGAAAAGCCCCTGTCTGATGGTCTTTAAGAACCAAGCGTCAGATGTAGTAGCCTCCCATTGGCCCGCAAAAATAGATAACCTTCCCTCAATGGGAGAACTGCTGCCACAATTAGCAGGAGTGCTGGGAACAGCAATTTCCTCTCCCACGAAAGGGATGCTTGCCTGAAATTGAGGCCTATCTCTGGCCGTTCTTTTCTGGGGGCGTTTCCAGCGATTGAAGGCCTGTCTCAAAGGCCTTTGTGTCCTGGCGCTGCTATCAGCACTGAAAGTTGACCTTTGAGAGTAAGGCACTGTTCTGAAATTAGAATGCCTTGCCAGAGAGAGAAGATGTTTCTTTTTATCCCTGGTCTCCACCAGATGGGGGTCCAAGACCTCCCCAATCTATCCCCTTTTAAAGGGGCTGATGCCACCTTCCACTTCTGCTGCCCATCGGTCTGCCAGTTTTTTAGCCAGACCGTTCTGCGGGCAGCGACAGAAGTGGCAATGGCCTTGGAAGCAAATCTGACATCGTTTAAAGTGGCATCAGCAGTAAATTCAGCCACTACAACCAGCTTATGGATGTCTTGGTGCACTTGGACATCCATGGTGGGAACCCTGCCTTTCAGCTGATGCAGCCAGTGTAAGGAAGCCCTCATAAAGAATGAGGCAGCTGAAGCAGCCTTGACTGACATCTGGTGGGTATGTTGGAGGGATTGTTTGATCCTCTTGTCCTCCACATTCAATGCCTTCTCTGGGTCAGCGAGATTTAATGAGGAAAAAACCAAGGCTGCAACTGGATTGTCCACTGATGGCACCTTTAATGAGCTGCTTAGTTCAGGCCCAATATAAAAGTAGCAGTGGTTGTTGACTGATAACATGGCAGATGTGCCTGGGGATTCCAGCTTCTTCTTTATTACATTCAAAACTAATCTAGGCACAGGAACCATTTCAGGCCGAACCGTTGGTTCATCGAAATATTGGTCTGGAAGAACAGTAAGTAGTGTCACCTTCCACTTCCCCAACATCTGCCTCTGACCCCAACTGAGTCGTCTTCCTAGCCTTGAGCAACTAGGCCCCGAACTTTTGAGAATCAGAGTCCGGTGAAGGAAGGTCTCTCAGGGACCACAACTTTGTCTCCCTCTGGTGCTCTAAATGAGATACTATGTATAGAGGGGTCAGGAGAAGTCCTGTCCCTCAAGGATTTCTGCTTCTCTCATGACTGGAATGTTCTAGGGCTGATGATCTGATACCACCGATTCAGGCCTTTGCATAGCCCAGAGGTTTTCCACAATGTCTTGCCTTATGGACCTTGAGATAATTGCTCCATGTGTGCAGGTAATACTGTTCCTGCCCCTTCAGAATCACACAAGCCAGCAGCTGTGGGCATAAAAGTTGCCTCCACTCCTGGTCTGGATCTCTTAGGAAGAGGTGCCCAAGATTCATCCTGGCAGGCTGCTTGGGGATTCCCTTCCCTTCCCTCTAACTCCCTCTAGAGATTGTGGTTTAACAATGGCAGATGAGTTATCAGGTAACCAGGCTTGTAAGTTGGGTCCATTAGTGGAGGCAGAAGGCCCAGGCTCCATCTGCAAAACTGGAGATGGAGCAGAAGAATCTGACTCCTCTGGGCGTGGTGAACTCCAGCTCCTCCTACCAGCAACATGCTGGCTTTTCTTCACCTGTTTTTCTAGAGCCTTCTGCCTTCTCAAGACATCCTGCTCCTCTGCCCTGGAACGTCTTTGAGGGCCCTTTTTCTTTTGCCTGCCCCTAGATTTACCTCTAAAGTAGAGGGACTGTGATTACCTTCCTGATCTTTATCCGCCAACTGGAAGGTTAAGATTTGCAGGACAGTCAGAGGGAAAGGATGGATCCTGAAGGGGAGGGGATGAGGAGTTACTTTCACAATAACTGCTTACCTTGTCACGTTAGGCCCCATCCAAATCAGGGAAATCCTCTTGCCTCTGAACTGATAAAGCAGGTGTGGAGAGGCCTATTGCTGGGCTGCAGCCTCACCCTGCTAGTCACCACAGTAAATTAAAGGACCTGGGTACAGGTCTACTTGTGCCCACGCTATCACTTCAGTGCAGGAGCAGGAATCACAGCCTTGGCAATGTGGTCAATCTGCGCCCTCAGCTGTGGTTGATCCAGTCCTTCTTGTGCCAACTGCTAAGCACAGCTGCTCCCCTCAGTTGGGATCGGGCTGACTGCCTGATCAAGCGGCTTGCTTTGTGCTGCTGCAAAGCCTCCTCCTCTGCTGGGCTTATTGCTCTCTCAGCCACTGCTGCCTGCTACTACACTGAGTGCTTCGCAGCCACAGTGATTGAAAACGAAAGCACACAACCCGAATCATAAGCTGTTTTTCCGTGCTGCTGCTGCACTACCGCACAAAACAGCTGAGGCCCTTATCGGACTGATTGCTGGGAGCTGCTCCACATGGTAGCAGCTCCACATGGTAGCCACCCTGAGTGCAATTGCCAAGAATGGAGGCGAAAAGCCTTTCTTCCTTGGCTGCAGCTTCTTCTTGAGGCTTTAGAGCCTTTTAAAACATTTTTCCCTTTTAAACAGAAATGGCCCCCACTTCCAATAGAAGTGGAGCCCCAGCAACTCACATCTGTCCTGGCTGGATTGAGTTGAAAACTGGGACATGGCCATGGTGCAGGGTGGAGCTTCAGTTTTTTCTTCCCTGCCAGCTCAGCTTCCCCATTTATTTTCTGGGGAAGCCTGTTGAGGTAATTCCCCGTTAGGAGAATGAGCGCATACAGGGAGACGTAGAGGGAGTAGTGTTGGAATAATACACACAGAACACACAGATACACTGTACAGTAAATGTAGGTTTTTACTTCCAGAAAGGTTTAAGCAAAGTCCAAAATAAGCAATCCAAAGTCATTCACAAGTTAAATCAATCCAGGGATAATCCAAATATCAAAGTCCAGTGTCAAAAAACAGTTCAGTAACAGACTTACATTAAATCCAGTAATATCAGTCAATTAGGAAAAATGGAGGAACGGCAATATTTTCCAACAGAAGGAAACAGAGATACTCACTCAGACACACTCTCTTCTGAGACTAAGACTAAGACTAAAACAACCTAGGTTTCTGGCTCCATCTTATGGCCGTTTGAGTAACCACACCCAATTGCAGTTTTTAGCATGCTCTTAAAGAGACAGTATTAAAATGTCTATCCTGGTGTATATATTTCTAACCCAAATATCTGTTAGGTGACTTATATTCCTAACAAAGCCTGTCAGGGAACACACTTTTTGAGGTGCATGGCAACCGGTTGTAAGTGCGGATGGGTTTCCATCACCCAGGTTGCAATCTCATGGCCATGAGGGCACTGCAATTGCTGTAACTTTGGCCACAGGCTAGTAAATCCTTTTGTTCTACACTGTTGTAATTTTGAATGGCTGCTGAACAAATGTTTGTAAATTGAGAACTACTTCTGAACTACTTCTGAATTCTTAAGAATGAACAAAACTTCATTTTTTTGTAATTATGCAAACTGTTTTTTGGTAATTTCTTACCTGAAGGCGAACAGCTGTCTAGCTCATAGGTCGCTCCATAATTGGAAGAATCAATGTCTACATACTTGATTTCACCCTTCATGTCAGACATGGGCACATAATCCAATGATTCATCCTTACTCATGTCCATGTAGCCCCCATCGCTTTCTACGGATACCGATGTATGGCTGCAAAGAGGGATAAGTTTTTAAAACCATTTGTACCCTTAGAACAGTTTCCTGATAATAAGTCACCTCTAGCATAAAATCAGGAAGGTAAGAATCAAAACTTAAATAGTATTTTCTTTCCCCATTATTTGTTTACAATAGTAAAAGCTCTGCCCATAGGCAAAGAAAAGGGAAAGTGCAAGAGAAATTATTTTTTGCAAGAAAAGGAAACAAAATATGATGATTGCCTCATGGAAACTAGAGAAATATTTCAAGTGAAAGGTTAACTAATTGCTGTGATTTATACACACATTATTTACCAACAAAACTGAATTAAAGATTACTGCATGTCTCACATGTGGTCAAACATGCGCATGTGGTCAAATATCTGAGTTATGAAGCACCTTGGCTGTTATCAGTAATTGAAGAGCATTATCTGTATACAGCATGTACCAAAAGTCAAGCTCCATGGGCCTATTACAATGTTTTATTGCTTTTTTTTTCAGAGAGAACCTTATGGTACTTAGGAATATTCAAAAATCATGCTTCAAATGAGTTAGGAGTTAAATGTATAGATAATTCTCGACTTATGATTGGTCACAGAGTGACCAAAGTTCTAACAGATTTTCCCAAGACTATTTATAATCTGAATTCAAAGTTCTGACAACCATCCCCATCTCCATGGTCACATGATTACATTTTGGTTGCTGAGCAACAGACTCATATTTATGGCTGTTTCAGCATTCTGTGGTCACATGACCACAATTTATTATGCTTTTTTCTTCAAATAATGTTTACTTTCAGTTTCTGGTAAAAAAAAATAACCATTGTGGACAATAGTTTCACTTAATGACTTTGCACTTAATGGTTGGAAATAGTGCATGATCACCCACTTAATGACTGGCACAACTTATGACCGTAATTTTGGGTTCAACTGTGATCTAGGTCAGAGGACTATCAGAGGACCAATTCAAACACTTAATGTAATTTAAATAATAAATTGTCTGTGGGGCATGACTTTTAGAACACCCTGTATATGTGCATGGAACGTACCATAACTAGAAGAATCTCTGAATATCCTTTCCCAAGGCAAGATTTCGTATACATAAAACTTTGAAATGTCTCTCTTCATTTGGTACATGCAACACATTTTACTCTGGAATGTTGATTGGAATGCATGTGCTTTCTTTCTTTCTTTTTTTTGCTTTTAAATTACTTTTAAAAAATAGGTTTTCATTTATGTATGTTTGTGCTTTTCATTTTTTATGTACATATATATAGGATACATATAGACAAAAATATATACTTGCTTTCCTACACTGCATAAGAACAATTCACATGCAAAATATTCCTTGTACTATCCTGCGCATAATAAAAGCAGACTTAACAGTTCACTGTTATTTTTTATAAGCTACATTCCAATATATTTGGAAGTCTGCTGATTCATGTTGGAGACAATTTCTGTATATGTGGATTGCAACTTAGAAGTAATTTTCAGATGAAATAACACTCATCTTAAAGGAGACAACTACCTCCCCATTATATTTATTTTATTGTAAAATGTATTAGGCACCCATCTTACTGCATGGCAACTCTGAGCAGCTTACAATATTAAAAGATAGAAGAGATCAACATACTGCAGATACATCAGCCCATGGTGACAGATGACCTTACCCAGTGGTTTCATGCTGTTGTTCAAAAGGAGTGGAGAGAGCCCTGAGCCCTGTGACACACCAAAAGATAACTGCGGAGGACTGGAACACTCACTTCCTATTAACACATTTCCTTGGAGAAAGGAGTGAAACTAGCGCAAAACTGTGCCACCCAGCCTCAGTCCCTATAGCTGACCCAAAAGGATACCATGGAGCAACCCGGCAAAGAGTCTCTCTCCCTTAGCAGGTTAATGAAGTCTCTAAGTGCTTGTGGAAAGCAAAGCTTGCTCCCTTTCCCCCTGAAATGGCTCCAGCACACCAGGAATTTCTCTCACTCACCACCCTCATAACGAAAGTCCTGGAAGGTGTGCCTGCTTATTTTTCCAGTACCCGAGATATATACATACATACATATGTCGAAGGTGCACCTGACTCTCACTTCCTATTAACATATTTTCTTGGAGAAAGGAGCCAAACTAGTGCAATACTGTGCTTCTCAACCTCAGTCCCCATAACTGATACAAAAGGATACCATGGTTGATAGTACTAAAAGCCGCCCAGAGGTCAAGGAGAATAAGGATGGTTGCACTACCCCATTCTGCTCTTGCCAAAGATCATTGACAAGTGTGAGCAATGCTGTTTCCATCCCATAATGGGGCCTGAATCTTGACTGAAAAGGATCTAGATCATTTGTTTTATATAAGTTCCTCGAAAGGTGCTAGGCCATCACCTTTTTTACAACCTTCACCAAAAAAGGGGTGCTTGGAAACTGGACAAAAGTTGTCCAGGCTGGTGGATCAAACCATTCCCAGGTAACCAGGTAATACTCCTTCCCAGCATATCATATGGACTGGCTCCATGCATGAGATCCAACCTGGAATGAATCCAAGCAATTTTGTCCATCAGGTGTTTAACATATTCCACTGTACAGCCCTGAAGATGATCATCTGAGCACCTCTGTCCCAGGAGGGACTGAGTGAGCCAGTAAAGGATTGATAGGTGACACACTGGGGATACAATAAGGGTGGAGAAATAATGTTGTGTTCTGACCTAGGCTTCCCCAACAGCACGAAGCCGAGTCCTCATCCTGATAAACCCCCTTTATTTAATTTACAATGAATTTCCTCTCCAACAAAGTCCCAGCCAACCGTCTTTCAAGATAGATCTTTATCAGGCTTGGAGAGTGGCCAGACCGATATCTTTCAGATGCTGCAATACTTTGGAAGCATGCCAGAATGAATTAATTGTCTCCTGAAAAGCCCCACTCCCCTTTCGCTCCTCTTTTATTCTCTAGGGGAGGGGCCATTCACTGTCCACCTTTGGCTTTACTCCCAAGTCAGCCTTTGTTCCTCAATTGTTTCCTTCCTCTGGCAACTCTGCGCATGCGCACACTGGGAACAGGCTCTAGCTGTTCTTCTGCCTCACTGATGTCTGACTCCAAAGGCAGCTCATAACTGTCAGATGGCCCTGTCCCCATCTCTGCCTCAGACACAGAGCACTCGTCAAAGCCTTTCCCAGACTCCAGGACTGGCCCATGTTCCTCCCCAACCATCTTAGTGTCCAAGTCTGCTGTCAGCTCTGCTGGCCGCTGTTGGGCCATAATATGTTGTTTCACCAGTCTAACTTGTATGAGATAGACTTTAATAGCAGCTCTAAGTTGTATCTAGTGAGAGTTATTCTAAGCTTTCCTCCAGCAGCACTCTGAGCATCTCTTAACCTTTTCAGAGCCAACAACTCCTCCACGAACCATGGGAAATGATGGGTCAAGAGAGCTGCAGAGAACTGCAGAGGCATGATCCTATCCAAGGCCTTAGGTTCCAGGACGTTGCAAAGGCTTCAGTAGGGCCATGTAGCAAAACTGCCAGGATATCTTTCGGTTCCTTTTGGTATTCAATATGAGAGAATTCTGATTAAAAATAGCATAAAGTGAATAAGTCCAATCTGAGCTGAATTCACTTTAATCGTATTCTGTTTATAAAGGAGAAGTAATCCCTGAAGATCTTTTTTCAGGGTACTAGGAAAATTATAACTAGAAGAAGCAGGGTTCGGGAAGAACACAAAACTCCTAATCCTCAACGCTGTGGCTCATCAAAGAATAAATCTATTCTTCTTTTTCAATGAATTTTTGCATAGGTTTCTGTATCAGTGGATTTTTCAATTTGTTATATTTGTGTTTATAAACTCGGCCTCACTATTGATATAAGTTGAGTATGACTATATAAATAGATACTGTAATCAGATTTACAGGCACCTCTGCAGCCGGTCCACACGCATGCCATTCCCATACAATTCTGCTTCTTGCTTGGCTTTCTCACTGTAGCACTGCAGGAAGGTGTGCTTGTTCCTGTGTAGATAGTCCACCAGGTCTCCGTTGCGACAATATTCAGTTATGATGTAGATGGGACCTACACAGAAGGCCATTTTCAGGAAGTCAGAGAATACCTTTTGTTCATAAGCTAATGATGGACTTGCTGAAGTTGCAAGTCTTTACAAGCATTTGTTTGGGGTGTTGACATAACTGAGCGCTCCACTAAACTTCAAGACTACCATTTCCAAACAAAAGCTCATCTAGAATATTTCTTCTTTGAATACTAGATTTTTGTGTGATGGAGCATTTTACTTAGCAAAGCAAGTATTTGGGGGATCTCACATGTGTAGTGAATATAGTCCAGGTAAAATAGTATTACTTAGATGTGGGAAGTAGACTTCCAACTCTTTCCCTGTATGTCCTCTTTCTGAGTCTTTTTTTAAAGTGTTAAAATGTCACTGCATGCTTTTGTAGAAGCTTGTAAACATACCCTCATATTTCCCAGATGTATATCCAATTTTCTTTATTAAAAACCAATAATACTATATTAAACATCATTTGGAGCAACATTATTATTGCCAAATATTGGAATAATACAATGGATTGATATTTTGAGGATATCTGATGGCCAAATTACCCTCTCCTTACAGCTGATGGATCAATTCATACTCTTATTGGTTGATATTCTTCTCTAAGTAGTAGAACAGAAGACACAAAACTCCTTTTCCCAATTAAGAGACACAAAGAGTATTGCATATAAATAGATCAAACACGTCTATGTGTGTGTTCCTATGTATCTGAATCCATAATATCTATATAACTATTGATCTATATCATCAAATCAATATGGATTGTCATTGCAATCAGATTACAATAAAATAGTGATTGTAAACAAATGATCAAGCACATATTGATTGCTCACAGAGATTTGTGCTGCTGTCTCTTGGAACATTTATATCACACAACTGCCATCTGCTGACTATTCTACTACAAAGCAAGAACCTTTAACTGGATCAGCATGTGAAACAGCTCCTTGTACCCTGTTTCCTGCACTGACCCTCTCATTGCTTTCATCATTTGGATTAAGTAATGTTTCTTTTTTTCTTTAAGAGTTGCAAATACCTGCACAAATTACATAGCATAGCATACCTCCCCTAGCACTGGAACCTGTTCAAAACCAGGAAAGTAGGCAGGACATGCAAGGTATAATTTTTAAAAACTATAATGTGATTTTAAACATTTTAGCAGATGGCAGGAACAGATTTATTTGATAAAAATATATTTCAGTGTACCGTAGCTATATCAGATGATCGTTGTGTTATTTACAAACCTAGCTATTTACATAATCTTAAAAGCATAAATGAAAAACAGCTAGCAATGTTGATACAAGGCATTTAGAAAAGAGGACTTTTCAGAACCGATCTCCATTAACATTTGAATCTATTCTTTGATCAGAACAGTCTCTATAGTATTAAAAGGCTAAAAATAGCAAATAAAGTTGAGTGTATAATGGATTCAATAAAACTAACAGGGCTTTCATTATATATCAAAGATGGTTTCATTCAAATGACACACACTAAGTGGTAGCACACAATTGGCCTTGGCTGATCTTGAAAAGCTAAACATAGTTAACTGTGATTAGTAATTGGATGGAAGACCACTTGGGAAATCCGGGGTTGTATATTAAACCGGAATGTTTTTTTTTTTTAAAAAAAAGTCCTGGAAAGTCAAGACAAACTATTAATGCAAAATTCTAACTAAATCTCTCCATGTAAACTCCATGTCAGGAGTTGAACTTAGATTTTTAATGAAGAAATTGAAATATGTGTGGTTTGGAAAGAGGTAAATGGTAGTGTTCTCATTTGCGTTGGATAGAAATTGGGAGGGTGATAAAAGGCAGGTTATATCCTTTTCAGAAAATAGCTACACAGGAATAGCTCATTAACTAATGAAAACATGAACATCTTCATCTATTTGCCAAACTCCACGCCAAATCAAAAGATTGCAGTTCCAGAAGAAAATGGCAAGGGTAGAGACAGACATCCGGGTTGAAGAGATTAAAATGAAAACAGTACCTCCTTTGGTGCAAGCACCAAGCAAGTTCACAATGTTCAAGTGAGGCCCAAGGTGGCTCATGATCTTCAGTTCTGACATCAGAGCCTGCTTTTCACTGCTTCGGGCTGTGGCTGTAGGGTGGATGAATGCAGTAATGAAATATAGATACTACTTTATTTATTTAAGAGATTCATATGGCCGCCTATTCGCACATGGTGACTTGAGGTGGATTGCTTTAAAATGCAATCCACATTGGGTTTATACATGAAGGAAGATTGGGGCAATCTTGTTGGATACTGAACCAGATAAATCATGCATGCTATTATATAGATAACATATTATACATTATGGACACCGTTATGTATGCCACGGGATTGGTACCAAAGATAAGTGGATAAGCAACAAATATGACAATATATTGTTAGACAGCCTAAAGGAGTAAGCCAGGCATGGAAGACGGCATGATTAGTTGTATTTCCATGTGCTGGTAGGAAGAAGAAACAATCCAAACTCACACTTGAGCATTTTCACAGCAACTCTCATGGTGGACTGAGAATGGCTGAGGCTGTGAGCAATTGCTTCCACCACACGCCCAAAGGCTCCAGAGCCCAACGTACGTCCTGCAGCAAACAGAAGATAGATCAAATAGCTATGTGATTTTTGTTTCCCATAAAATAGCTGAGAATAATAAGATTGCAACAGTCAAAAATTCTGATTAAATTAAAATAAAATATAAAATACATCCTCCTCTCTAACTACAAACAGGGGAGGGCTTGACAGTATTGTTGTATGGATAGTCCTTAACATGAAAGTTTGGGCAGAAGAAAGAGCTATGCCACAGGGAATGATTTAGGGGTGGACCAGGGCTGGCCTCTCCCTGTCTGATCTGCTAAGAGTGTGATCCCGATTAGAACAGTATGCTAAATGTGACCACTTTGTTGTTGTTAATCACGAAGTCGTGTCCAACTCATCACAACCCCATGGACAACGTTCCTCCAGGCCTTCCTGTCCTCTACCATCCCCTGGAGTCCATTTAAGCTCACACCAACTGCTTCAGTGACTCCATCCAGCCACCTCATTCTCTGCTATCCCCTTCTTCTTTTGCCCTCAGTTGTCCCCAGCATTAGGCTCTTCTCCAGTGAGTCCACCAGGGGCAGAGTAATTACATATTTTGAGCTTCACATTCTCAGATGTATTGTCGATGTATTAAATTTCTAGGTCACTTCACTTCAGATTACTTTCTGGACAACTTCACAGAATTAAAAAAAAGAGCAGTACCAATATTCCTCCTTCATTATTATAGTCTTAACTGTCAAAACCACTGTGATGATATTCATGAAATACAATTTAACAACTACATTATATCCAGAGTGCCACAACATATGTTGTTTATACAAGCTGCTGATTATTTTTCTAAGCCACCAATGTAAGGGCCTTTCTCCTCTGGCATTAACATGGCTGATGTCTCCTTGGCAACCTCTTTTTTAAAGCTCCTGACTCGGCCTTCATCTTACTCCCAGCCCAATTCTTTCATGTTTATGAAGCACCTCACTGCATAGATACACAAATGTGAATTACTGGGTTTTCCCATAACATTAAGTAATGCATATTATATTACAATCTGAATATAGTTATTATGCCTGTCATCCATCTTTCAGCATCCTTTAAAAGCCTTTGAAAAGTATGCTGCAGATCAAAGGATGAGGCTTCACAGTCTAAGAGCCATCTAGTGAGAAACAAGACTCAGACCTGGAATTCTGCATGCAACCTTCCCCAACCTTGTACAGATGAACTCTCCTCCTCCCAGGTGTCATGGAGAAGAATCAGTAAAAGGGTTTCATTATGGACTAAGGCTTTCTGTTCCCCATAGAATTCCATTAAAAAAACCCTAATTTTAATTGCAAGAACTCTATCTGTTGGATAAGGGTGGTGTTTAGTGGTATCTAGCTTCTATGTATTAAACTTGTCTCTTATCCTTCTCCTCCTCTTCTCACCTAAAACCAGCCTGTCCCTTGGGACTTCCCAACTGGAATCATAAGGCAGTTGCATAGGGTCCACATAGATATATTCATGCCCATCAGAGCTGACTGACTCAATCACCTTCCAGCGAATTTCATATCGAGGCTTCTGGTAGAAGGAAACAAAATAGTTAGAAGATGGCAGGGCTACATAAGATGCAGCCCCACTGCAAGAAGAGGCTCACTCTGGAGATCTCCTCCTTGTGCAATTTGCCTAAGGTATTATTGCACACCCAAACCTATAGTCTGTCTCTACATACAAAGGCCTTTCTCCAAGGGAAGAGGGCTGCCTCCTTCCCTTCCTTAAGAGAGCTAAAGTAGTTCAAGTGGTACATTACAACATCAGCAGAAGTTTCTGCACAGAAATCAATGGGTCTTTCAATAAGGAATGCAGCCTGTAACTTATCCCACCCATTCACAAAGCAGCCATTTAAAAGCAGCTCAATTAGCTTAGTTAGCTTCCATGATATAAAAATAAAAATTATTTTACAAACTTGAAAAATGTTCATTCTCTTTTTAACATTCTCATTTTGATAATAGTTACAGATTTAAAAAGTTGACACATTGTCACTAAGAAAATTGAGAAAATAATTTCAAAATAATACCAAAAAAAGAACATTATTTCCTATAAACAAGTATATACTTGCCCTACAGTATGGAGAGTTTTGTAAGTACTGTAATCTTTGATTGGTATTTCAGATTATTCTCAGAACCTTGGCATAGTAGACTTTGTTTAGCCAATCGTTTCCTGAAATTCAGCATAATTATTCAAAAGATGAGAATTTAATAATCTGAGACACTAAGGGCTAAAAGCAGATTCTTACTTTTCGCCACAAGAAAATGAGGATCACCAGGAAAAGAACCATGAGAATCACAAAAGCCACGATTACTGAAATAACGATCACTTTAAAAGGTAGATCTAAAACAAGAAACATAAACAGAATTACTACATTTACATATACATTTATGGCCAATGCTGTCTCAATATACTTATTTAGATTCTTAATCCATTTTTCACCTGCAAAGTCTCTTACAAAGAGACTTAAAATAACAATGTTAGCAGCCTTTTCTTTCTCTAGGGCCTCTAATCATAGCAGTCATTCAGCCAAAGCCAGGTCAAGATTCTCAAGAGGCAGCTGTCGGGCCACAACAATGGCTTTCAAAGTCTGCAAAGTTAGTGATCTCTTTCTGGGTCAAATTTGGCACCAGGATTTGTGGTTATGATCCTGGATAGGCAAGTCTCAGAGGGAGGGCTGAAGAAGGTCCAAAACTGTCAAGCACCTTGGAGTTCTCATATCAAATGACCTAAACACCAAAGCTCACTGCAACAGTATTGCCAAAAAGTAGGGATGGGATATGACAGGGTTCGGGATTTACGAAGTTCGGTGATTTATGATGTGCTTCCCTGCATGCTGCGAGTGTGCCTGTAAATTGTCATCAGCTGCGTGCAGAGAAGCAGCCTTTGAAACAGCCCTCTTTTCCTGCTTTTTTAACTGCAGCTGTGCCTCGTTCAGCAGCTGAAGTTGAAAAAATCAGAAAATAAAGATCAGGTAAGAGCCCGGGTGTGCGGGTGAGCAAAAACATCAGCAGACATAGAACTGGTTCTATGACTGCTGCTCTTCAGAGCTACTGGTTCTGCAGAGGTGGACAGAACCGGTAGAAACCCACCCCTGCCAAAAAGGCTTTAAGAGTTGTAAATTTAATTTTATGAAGCTTTTCCTCTGGTAATACTGATTTGCAAACTAGGACATTCAAAACCTTTGCTAGACCAAAACTGGAATTCAGCTCTGCTGTCTGGAATCTACACTGTATATCAGATATAAATACATTTGAGCGAGTCCAGTAGTATTTTGCCAAAAAAGTATTCCTCTGTTCGTAACAGAATACCCTATATCACCAGACTTGAGATTCTAGGCTTAGACAACCTTGAACTACGCCGGCTATATGTTACAACATCTTACCAGTTAATGAATATTTCAGCTTTAACCACAACAACACAAGAGCACACAACAGATATAAACTTAATGTAAACCAGTCTAAACTTGATTGCAGGAAGTACGATTTCAGCAACAGAGCGGTCAATGTGTGAAACTCACTACCTGATTCTGTTGTCACCTGCTCAAATCCCCACTCCTTTACCCTCAAGCTAACCTCTATTGACCTCACCCCATTCGTAAGAGGTCTGTGAGGGGTGTGCATAAGCACACAATCATGCCTACTGTCCCTGTCCTATTGTCCCCAATTATTAGCTCCTATTTCTTATACTTAAACTTATATTTATTCTTATTTCTATTGTGTTGTAAGCTTTTGACAAAATAAATAAATAAAATAAACAAATAAAATATTTTCTTGATAGATTTCCAGATAGGGCACAGAGACAGAGTATTTGCATTTATCTTCTGAATCATCTCTTGTCATCTGCAACACATCTCGAGGGATCACTCTTGGGTGATCTGGATTTCCCAGCATGGTGTGTGTCTTGCCTGCTTCAGTTGGTCAATAAGCCAATATGCTAGCATTCTGCTCCTTCAGCAGATGGTGTAAGAGAGGCTGAATTGACCCTATGCAGACATCATGTTGGGTGGCTGCCTCACCATAAAACACATCAAACCTGTATTTCATAGTCTCCATCTCATTTCTCCAGTTGAGATTTTCCAAGGAGTGGGTGTCCACACCTCATACACATGGAGCTTCCTGACCTTGTCCAGTTCCCACTGCTAGACATAATTGTATATTTTTGCCTGTTGTTCATATATTTCTCTTTCCCTGCCTTTTTCATGTTTTGCCAGTTAAATGCCTTGACATTTCCTGAAGTTTATTAAATAGCATAAAGTTATATTTTTGCTAGCTATGCTGTGTGGCATGTGCTTGCTATGATATGAATATAGAGACTAACTGGGATGATGCTGGGTGAAAACTAAACTGGAAATTACTCAAGTTATAACAGATGTACAGCACAGCTAGGGGACACAAATCTACTTCTGCCCACACCAGTGCAATAACACTATTGCATTTCTACATGTGTGACAAAAATAATAAGATGGATATTGCAGGACTCACTGTATGGGACCAGGGTGATTTGCTGAGTGTGAGCACCAAGGAGATTTTGAGCTGCACATTGGATAAAGATAGGCTCATCTACTCTGTGAAAGTGGAGCTTGCTTGTCACAACGTATACTTTTCTGTCATCTTCATAAGTGAAATTTGTTTGCAGATTCATCTCTTCTGAGGTGTTTCCCAGGATCTTAGTCGTTTCCCCCGCACACCTGTTTTTGAAAGCAATTAAAGAGAGTTTGACCAGTATCTCCATCATATTGAGTAATATGTTACATCTCTACCGTAGCATATTCCTTTGTCTGCGCATCTAAAGATTAGTCCCACGAAAAGTTTTCTCAGCAGCAGGTTCTGTACATTCAGGAGCTCCATGCTTAGCTTCTTAAGCTGTCCTGCTACAGATTGAATTATTCAGCCCAGAGGCATCTGAGCAGCAGCTATTATTCTTATGATTATTTTGCAGTTCTCTCAAAAGTATTTGTGTAAAAAAGCATAATGGCCAATAATTTTGCCCCCAAAATAGCCATTGTGAAACCACAGGGATGATCAGGAAAGGTTTGTGAATTTAACATCTCCTCTTCCACCTCCCCCTTCAAAAATATATGGGATAATGGAACCATCCCAAAACAGGGCTGAATATGCTCAGTAACTATGAAAAGTTGATGGTCAGTTGAAAAAAATGAAAAGAGAGGGGGAGGAATGGAGGATAACCTGCCTGAATTGGGCATATTTGGGGACTTGGAAGGCTGGACAGCAGTACCCCTAGGAATGCACTGAGACATTTTGATGCATATTTTACTTCTTGTGAGATTCAAATCATATTCTAACAAGCACAAGATCTGAATTTACTCCACGTATAATGAGATTATAAAAAGATTGATCTGCAGCAAAATCCCATGGCAAGTTCTTTCCTGCTGTTCTCCCCACCCAGGGCTTTAAATGCAAAATCTCTCAATATGTTTGGTGCAAATGTTCTCCTTACCATTTGTCATTATTACAGGTATACCAGGTAATCTCTGGTTGGGGCATTCCTTCTGTAGTACAGATCACTGTTTGCTCACCATTTGTTTTGTTGCTACTGTCTCTCAGTTCAGTGACTGTAGCTGGGACTGGTTACATTGGAGAAAAGAATATGAGATAACAAATAATTGGTTACAGGGATATACAGTTTTGTAAGGGAAAGCTTCCTGAAAAATGAACAATACAAAAGGTACTTTCTGAGTTAGAAACATGATGTTTAAATTCACTGCTATATCTTACTCAACTGATATTCCATTTATCCTATACTTTATTTAAAAAATAATAATAAACTGAGTGCTTTTAGTTTCATATCCATACGTCTCTGGAATTAACTTTATTAGGAAATCCCCTAAAGTGCTGGTGACATACACAGTTACCAGTTATTGAGCAATATTACTACTTGGAAGGTTGCAAATAAATGATGCATTATAGTTATGAGTCTGTCAGTAAATTAATGATCACGTTAAATCACAGAAAACAGGGCAATATTAATACCTAATAGTCAGACTTGTTATTACGCATACAGTGGTCCTGCATTGAAGACACACTTTAATGCATGCACAGCAATGGGAGAAAATTTCCATCATTCTGCACACACAAAAATGGCAGACTGAAGATGCTATATGATCTTCATTCATGGGAACCACTGCAAATACCTACTATGATAACATGCCAAGGTGTGATTTTTCTTAACAATTATTGCATAAACAATTTGCTAGGTTGTTTTGCAGTATGCTGAACCATAGTTTTTGAGTAATAATGATTGGGTTTACGAGTTATGCTAAGCCATAATATAGCTTTTAGGCTTCAGATTAGCATGTTGTATGAATCTAGTCAGAACCCTTTAGATAAATATGAAGACTACAGACCAAGGGACTTTAAACTTGGCATGTTTAAGACTTGTGGATTTCAACTCCCAGAATTCCTAAACTAACATACTGGAAGAGGAATTCTAGGAGTTGAAGTCCACAAGTCATAAAGCTGTCAAGTTTGAAGACCCCTGCTATAGACTATAATCACAATCACTTTGGCTTAGAAGTACAAGGATAAGTAATTGTTAAACTGTGGGAAAGCCATAAAAAAAACTTAAATCCTTTAATTAATTAAATGGTCATAGATAAGCTAAGGATCTCCACTTCCTGTTGATAGAGAGCAATTTAGCTCATTAACACAGCTTTATCCTAATAAATAATTAAATGTCAAGATGGTGCCACAACTTTTTGGCTGAAGCCCTTTTAGTAGGGTTGCACATGTGGCTCTCATAAAAAAAATGGTGCACTGTTATGGCTGCGAATTTAACTTTGAAAAAATCCCCATCGCTTCATCCCCCAAAGATGCCCCTGAATGAAATTCTTGTCATGCAATGTTGAGTTTCTTAAGTAGCTTCACTGACTTTGAGCCAGGGAGCTGGACATGGACAATAACACATGACAAAGGAAAGTTTGGAGTAACAACCACACAGCGCACTTGGAAGGAAGAATGGAAAACTGTTCTACTCCTTAATGGGACATTTTCAAGACTCACTAGAAAGTGATGGCTTTTAGGGAAGGAAGAAGCTTTTTGCTCAAGAGGCATAAGAAGCCCTTGAGAATTGTGTCAAATGAACATTGCACTAGAAGTTAAAATGATCCATTTATTTATTAGACACTTATCTCCCCCAGCAAAAAAAAAAAGACACCCAATCCAAAGATTCTGGGAAGTTTAGAACAATAAAAATAAAAGGAACATTAAAACAAAAAGCAATAAAGAATACACTATGGCCCATAAATGTATCTTAGGCATCATACTCTCCCTTATTAAATAAAAGGTTTTAGCATTTTTTTGAGCAGTGAAACAATGTGAGCCAGGCTCTGGGGACAGAATGTTTTGCAATTTGGAAATTATCCAAGAGGAGGCCTCTAATTCATATTCCTTTTATTTCTTGCCATTATTCTTTAAGATGGCCTCCCCTATTATTTCTCCAATACTCCAATGCCTCCTATTTATGTTTACCTTTTTGGCTAAAAAGGGGAAAATGTGCAATCCTAAATTCTTATCTTTCAAATCCCATTATACAGATTTTACAATTTTCTCTCTTGCCTTTGAACCCAATACCGCAGCTCCCTGTTTAGATTGCAATCATCCAAACAACCACTAGATGGAAGGCTTTTATTGAACTGCAGGAGAGTACAGAATATATTTGGAAAGCATGCCTGATGAAAGCAGCCTCTCTCAATCTCCTTTGATTTAATAAGATTCCCCTCATCCTTTGATAGCTGCATGAAGGAGCTGCAAGTATACCAGGGACACCCTACTGCATGCTAATATTCAGCTGTAGCTGATAAAGGAGGAATGTGCAGACATTCACAGCTTGCTTCATTTTCCAAACTGCCCAGGTTCTGAAAAGACCATAACAAAAGAGGACAGTCAATGTCTTTGATTCTCCAGATGGCAACGGCCAGAAATAGGATTATGTTCTCAATCAGAGACTCTTACACATGTCTATTCTTCATTCTGCCAGTGGACTGTCTTTGGATTCTCTCCTTAACATTGACAAATGATAGCCAATGGCTACACTTCTTGAACAGAAGTTCCAAGTAGGGGTGTGGTTAGCCTAGGTAGCCACAACTGGTTTCTTTTCTCCCCATCCTTGCTCAAGGGGAAACATATTCTCTTTGGATAGCCAAGACTATGTGCTAAAATTGGCTCTGAAAGAAAGTTATTTTTTTTTCTTTTTGCAAGAAATCTCATGATATTTTGCATTCCCAAAAGTCTTATGAGAGTCCATGTATTATACAGGTAATCCTTGACTACTCATTTAGTAACCGGTCAAAGTTATAGCAGACTCCTCCCCCCTCAAAAAAACTCCTCTACTTATGACCAGGTCCTCAAGTTATAACCGTTATAGCACCTCCAGGGTGATTCACCTTACACTTGATATCCTTAAGTGAAAATTAACTGCCCTGTCCTGGATATTTAAAAGATGATTTAAAATAAAGATACATTTAATAAAGTATAATCTTTGCAAAGAGGTTCTTTTGGCTGTAAATAAAACTGATTGCAAGGTGGTGGGCTTACCATTAATCTGCAAATAAAAGGAGAGTTCTTTTACATCATCTTCGTGAAATGCTCGGACAGTGTACAAACCTCCCTCACTTGCTTTCACCCTTACGAGGGTCAGAGTAGTCTGATACCTGGGTGGGAAAAATAATCTTGCAACAGTCACAATAGTGGAGCTTATATGGGAGCACAAATGACGTTACTTTTCAAAGGGAAAATTTCCACCCCAAGAGAGAAACCCATTTTAGTTAAGCTAGAATGAATTGTGATATTTGACAAACTAGAATTTGCCATCATGGGTTAAATGAGAGCTAACTTAAAAGATACATAGTGTGCCATCTCACTCTGATTTCTAATTTAATAAATATATGTTCCTGGATGCTTGATTTATATTGGACCAATGAATACAAAGAAAGGGAAACAAAAAATATTTTCTTTATCCTTGTATTGATATTATCCACTTTTTCCATATAGATGCAAAGCTTTATGAAATCCATTAGTGATACTAGATTTTTCTTAGTAAAGGGAGGATACCTGTCCATAATGTATACAGTATATCAATTAAAAATAATAGATGGCTTAATGCTGCATATACTAAAATGTTGAGATGAAACAGTTTACCTGGTTTCTGACAAATTCCTGCTGTTGATAGCAAAATCACTGTTGCTCTCAGAAGTCAGGGGCTTCTTGTTCTGAAACCAGATTATGGTTGGACTTGGATAGGCTTCCATCTGTATCAAAAAGGTGTGACTTTTGTGCAGTTCTGCAAATATGGTCTCGTTTAGAACAGTGTGAAAAGTCACAAAGCCACGCTCTAGGTCAGAAAGGGTGAATCAAAAAGACACAAATTGACCTATATTAATTTTTTTGTTTGACAATGTGTGTTAATGATGAGGAGAGTTCATTGGCACAAATTGATTATTTTAATAAGCAGCATAAAACTATGTGTTTTAAAGGCCCATGATAGCAAACCTATGGCACACAAAGCCATTTGTGTGGGCACGTGAGACCCAGCCAAACTTACTGGCATTATGCATGTGCATGTCTCCTAGCTGATTTTTGGCTTGTTTGAGGCCATTTTCACCCACCTGGAGGCTCAAAGGAAGCCTCTGCAGCCTCGGGAGGCTGAAAAACAGGCCTTCCAGAAATATCGGAAGTATGGAAACAGGTCCATTTTCAGCCTCCTGAAGCTCCAGAATCTTTCTTCAAGCCTCCGGGAGGGCGAAAATGGCTCTAGAGGCCCTCCTGGGCTCCAGAGGCCCTCCAGAGGCTGAAAACAGGCACTTCTGTTATTCCCAGAAGGCCTGTTTTTCAGTCTCCCGAGGTTTCCCTTGAGCCTCCGGGAGGGTAAAAATGGACTCAAATGGGCCGAAAATCAGTTGGGAGGCGCACGCATGGGCAGTGCAGGAAAGGGAGCGGGATGGGGGTATTGCACATGCATGCGCAGGGAGGAGCAGGGTGCATTGTATTGTGGGTGCTGGCACGTGCACATTTTCAGCACACCACAACAAAAAGGTTCACTATCACTGCTATAGGCCATATCAAAATACAAGATTCAAACATGTATTACCAATAATATCCTATAAAAATAATTTAAAATAAGAATAGCATAAAATACAATAATTATGGAATAAAATACAATAATGTAATACATAAATATGTAAAATAGTATAAAATAACATAAAATTGTATTTCTGTGTCACCCCTACAATCTACCCCAATCAGGCCCACATATGCTGATCTCAATGGGACCATTTTAGTCAGAAACCCTCCTATATTAAATGTTTTCAAATTCTGGCCACACATGACTAGATATGGGAATAGGATTGCTTTCACATAAAACTGAAGTGAAAATAGTTGATTTCATTGCAGAAGAAATTAAAATACAATTATTTACCAAAATTATTGAAAATAATCTGAATATATGTTTGATATGAAGCCTCAAAAATATCTTGCAAACCAGTTGTTACACTTTTCTTAAAAGTTGATGATTCAGTTACCTCACTGACAATTTTTGTTGAGCTAGTTGATTGGAAAAACAAGATGCAGAAACAATATGTTCTTCAATTATTGAAAGTTTAAATAATTATTATAATTATTTACTGAGAACTACCTAGAAAAAAAATTAATAGGATTTTGTTCCGATGGTACCAATGTTATGCTTGGGAGAAAATCTGGAGTGAGCACTAGAATAGCGAAAGAGTTTTCAAACATCATAATAAGGCACTGCTTAAGCCATCACCTCCAACTTGTTTTAGATGATTCGATAAAGGAAATAAAGCAAGTAAATCATTTAAAAATATTTATTGATAAGATATATACTATTTTTTTCATCAATCCAATAAGAACCAAACCGAATTTATCAAAATGTCTGAACAACTTGGAATTGAAATTATAAAGATTGGTAGAGTTTAGGAACCAAGATGGGCTGCCTGTAGTTTAAGGTCAACCCTAGCTGTGGAGTGTGTTTATCTAGTGCTACATCACTATTTTCATTCAAATGAAAAATACTTAGATATGGCTACCCATTTTGAAAATATATATTTTATGACTGATTTGGCATTGATGATTGATATTCTAAATCAGCGGTTCTCTATTAGGTTATGTCCTTTGTCCATGGGTTCCTCTAGGAAAAAAACCATATCGTCTGCAAACGCCTGTAGTTTATATTCCTCTGCTTTGACCCTAACTCCTTGGATTTCAAAGTTTTGTCTTATCCGCGTTAACAGTGATTCTAAAGCAAATATAAATAAGAGGGGTGAGAGAGGGCAACCCTGTCTAACGCCCTTTTCAATGCTTAATGGGCCTGTTTGTTCGCCATTAATTAGTATATTAGCTTGTTGGGTATTGTAAATTGTTGTGATAATGTTCTCGAATTTAGTGCCCAGACTCATGTTATAGATTTTTTGTATTAAAAAGTGCCAATGTAAGTTATCGAATGCTTTCTCCGCATCTAAAAACATGAGTGCAAATTGTTTCTCTGGATGAGCTTCATAATATTCTAAGACATCAATAATGGTTCTTAAATTGTTTTTAATTTGGCGGAATGGAAGGAAACCATTTTGGTCTTCATGAATGTATAAATTTAAAACTTGTTTTACTCTATTCGCTATAATTGAGGTAAATAATTTATAATCGGCGTTTAAAAGTGAGATTGGTCTATAATTGTTGATATATCTGGCATCTACATCCTCCTTCGGAATTAACGCAATCAGCGCCCCTCTCCATGAGTCTGGCATTTTGGCAGCCAAAAGTACTTCGTTAAACACTTCCAGCATCAGAGGCCCTACTAAATCTATTGTGGCTTTATACAATTCTACTGGAATCCCATCTGGACCTGGGGATTTATTATTACTTTGATTTTCCATTGCGGATTTTAACTCAGACCATGTAATATCCTTATTTAGTAATTCTTTGTCTCCTTCCCCTATTGTTTTATCATTCGTATTCTCCAGATAAGTTCTTATTTTGTCTTCATTGATTTCTTCTTTTTTATATAATCTTTGAAAATAGTTTAATATAATATCTTTTTTCTTCTCAATCTCATGTTGTGGGATGCCTTTCTCGTCTATTAATTGGTGTATCAGTCTCTTTTCTTTTTCTTTTTTAAGTTTATAAGATAGCCATCTTCCTGGTTTATTGGCGTGTTCAAAGTAATTTTGTTTGGACCTTCTCAAGCTAACTTCTATTTTATCTTGTTCAATTAAATTCAGCTTATGTTTGGCTAATATTAACTGGTTTTGTAGTCCTTGGATCTTAGGGGTTTTTTGTAATTGTATTTCTAAGTCTTGGATTTGTTGTTGTAATACGTTTTGTCGGGCATAGATTCTCTTGTTTCTCATAGCATTATAGGAAATTGTTGTGCCTCTTATAATTGCTTTCATAGTATCCCAAATGTTCTGTTTTGAAGTTGTTTCATTATTATTATCTTTTAGAAAATAGTTTAGCTCCTCTTTCAGCTTATTAATATACTCTTCTTCATTTACAATTTGGTTGTTTAGTGTCCATCTTTTTTTTATTTGTCTCCTATCTCTCCAAATTAGCTGTATTGGGTTATGGTCAGCCCATTCATTCGGTAGGATTTTAATTTCTTTTATTTCATTAGCCAAATCCAAATCCATCCAACCCATATCTATTCTAGTCCAAGTCTTATGTGGATTAGAATAGTATGTAAATTGTTTTCCTTCAAGATTCCGTTCCCTCCATAAATCTTTTAAATTTAACTCTTTCAACATTTCCTTACATGCCGCGGAAAGTTCCCTTTACCCCTTCTTGTTTTTTCCCATATTACTATGGTCTTTCTGGTAATCTGCAATGGAGTTAAAATCGCCAATCAAGCAAATGTTTCTTTTTTCAAAGCCTACTATTTTTTGGTGAAGGTGTTTAAAAAATTTCCCCTGGTCATCATTTGGGGCATAGATTGCTACAAGTAAAAATGTGATGTGGTTTATCCAAACTTGTATAATCAGAGTTCTTCCTTCGGGATCCGACCAGATTAATTCTGCCTTTACATCTTGTTTTACGTAAATTGCAATTCCTTTTTTCTTGTGTTTGTCGGCCGGTGCCGTAAAAAGTTTCCCTAATTTTGGACAAATTAGATGTCTTTCGTCATTTTTTGAAATATGTGTTTCTTGAAGACATATTATATCTGCGTTATGTTGAATAAGTTTTGAAAATATCCTTTTTCTTTTTGATAATGAATTTAATCCATTTATATTGATGGAGAGCAACTTCTTCCCCTCCACCATTTATCTACATCTGCTTAGATTTTTGCCTAGTAATGATTCGGTTCTCTTGTTGTTGTTGTTATTGTGGGATTTGCTCTTCTCTCCCAGGTTGTGGGTTATCACTTCCTGAAATTAGAGAAAGTCGTTCCTTTTGGGTTCTGTGATGATATCGGTCCTCCTGTAGTCTCCTTTTAGGTTCTTCTTTAGTGGATTGACCATTCGTATCCATGAGCTGTTGATAAAAATCTTGGGCCTGTTCTATCGATTCTATTTTGATTTTCCTCTCTTTCCACGTAATTAACATCCCTTCCAGGATTAACCATTTAAATTGGATTCCTTTTTTATTTAAATCATTAGCTAAAAATTTATAATCTTGTCTTATCATCCTCACTTTCTTTGGAATTTGTTTTAAAATCCTAATTTCTCTGCCTTTATATGATATTGTTTCCTCCCTAGACATTTTCAAAATTAAATCCCTCAGACATCTCCTAGAGAAGCGGATATGAATTTCTCTTGGGCAGTTGTTACGCCTGGCGTAGCTTGTGCTAGCCCTATATACCTCATCAAACTCTTTAATTAGATCATCTTTTTCCTTTCCTAACCATTCAGCCAATATTTCTGCCATCAAATGTTCCAATTCTTCATTTTTTGCTTCCGCCACATTCTGGAACCTTAAATACGCCATTGCTTTGTCCATCTCGAGGTGGACCAGAGAGTCTTCCATTTCTCTAAGTACATTTTTAAATTCCTCAAAAATCAGCGGTTCTCAACCTGTGTGTCGCAACCCCTTTGGGGGGTCAAACTATTTATTGATTTATTGAATTTATATTGCTGCCTGTGGTGACTCGAGGTGGCTTACAGAATATAAAAACACATATAAAAACTAAAAAAAAATCAAATAAATTAATAAAGTACAATATAACAAAATTACCCCCCCACTCCCACCCCTGCTCCAATGACAGCAGATCACACAAGCTATTTAATGGGCTCTATCCTGATCTTGGTTTTCCAGGCCTGCCGGCAGAACCAGGTCTTCAACAGCTTCCAGAAGAATATTAAAGTGGGGGACATTCTAATTTCTGGGGGAATGATGTTCTAGAGAGAGGGAGCCACTATGGAGAAAGCCCTTCTCCTCGGTCCCACCAGGTATATCTCCCTTGGGGATGGACCTGCAACATTCTCTGCCTCCCCGCTCTGATGGGTTGGGTAGATGTGACCGGGAAGAGATGGTCCCTCAGATAATCTGGTCCCAAGCCATGAAGGGCTTTAAAGGTGACAACCAGCACCTTGAATTGCAACTGGACGCAAATAAGGCAACCAATGCAGGTCCTGCAGGAGAGGTGAAACATGTGCACACTGGGGTCTGCACAAAACCATGCTGCATTTTGCACCAACTGAAGTTTCTGGATGCTGTCCAAGGGCAGCCTCATGTAGATAGTGTTGCAATAGTCAAGATGGGAGGTGACTAGGACATGAGTGACTGTGAGTAGGGACTGTTGGTCCAGGAAAGGGCGTAACTGGTGTATAACCCACAGTTGTGTAAAAGGCCCTCCTGGCCATGACTGCCACCTGCTCTTTGAGCAGGAGTTGTGAGTCCAGGAAAACCCATAGATTATGTACAGGATCTGTTTGGGATAGTGCCACCCCATCCAAAACCAAAGGTGGTAATTCTCCCTGAGCCAACGAACCCCAAACCCAAAGCCACTCAGTCTTGCAAGGGTTTAGTTTCAACCTGTTGCTCCCCATCCAGCCCCTAACAGCCTCCAGGCACTGCAAGTGGGAGGACACAGCAACACTTAACTCACCACAGGCTGAGACATACAGTTGAGTATCATCAGCATATAGGAGATACCTCAGTCCATGGTGACATATGATCTCACCCAGTGGCTTCATATAAATGTTGAACAGGAGCGAAGAGAGTACTGAGTCCTACAGAAATCCGTAAAGCAGTGGGTGAGGGCTGGATCTCTCCCCTCCTATCAACCCCGACTGAGAGCAGCTGCAGAGGAAGGAAGTGAACCAGGAGAGCACAAGGCCATCCACTCCTATCCCCCAAAGCAGCCCCAAGAGAATCCAATGGTTGATGGTGTTGAAAGCCACTGAGTAGAACAAGGATGGATGCACTATCCTCATTCCGCTCCCGTCAGAGATCATCCAAAAATGTGACCAATCCATTTCTGTCTCCAGGCAGTCCCAGCTGTGTTTATGCAGCTCATTAACGAGGTGTTACATGAACATCTCTATTGTCCCAAATCCAGGTCTCAAAACTGCCATTGGCCAGCACCCGCAGACACAAGAAAGAAGTCAGGACACATACCTACATACAGTGTTTCCTTTAACACACACACACCCTTGGAAATCTGATAGGGCAGCAACAACAGACAGTGAGTCCCATGTAAAGCTAGCTCTGGGAGCTTTGCCTGCCAGCACTGCTTTTATTTCCTTCTTAAAAAGTTCGCCCATCCGGCAGCCCACCCACTCAGGAGCCCTCTCCCCATGCTGGTTTCTTCACTCTCTGCCAATCCCCAGCGGAAGGTCAAGACAGCATCTGCTGTGTAAGTGTTTTCAGGGTAAGTCCTGTTGCTCCAGCTGCCTCATCCATCACCTGCCACATTTGGGCATTGTGGAACTCTGATGTGACATGCTGCTCAGTGGTGAGTTGCGGAGCTATGACGCGGCCCTTCCTGGATGTCTCTTGTGCGCCGTGGCCTCTAATGCAACCATTCATGCTGCTGCCATGCCATCCGCTGCCAATCCTCATGGTGCTGCACCTCCCACCACTTGTCCCTCTGAAATGGCAAGCCCATGGCTGTAGGCCAGGCTTGACCACCAGGCCTGAATCCTGATTGGTAGAGGTTAAGATAATCTGTTTCATCCAGAAACCTCTGAAGTTGCCACGTGACCACCTTCCCCAAAAAGGGAAGATTGGAGACAGGTTGGAAATTATCCAACCAGCTGGAGTCCAACGATGCTATCCCTCAGAAGAGGGCAGAACACAGCCTTCTTAAAGGTGGCTGTGGCACCATCCCCTCCTGTAGAGAAGCATCAATCACCGCCAGAGTTCACCGTCTGTCACCTCCTGGGAAACTTTCATAAGCCAGGAGGGACTTGGACAGAAGTTTCCCTCTATGGAAGCAACCAAAATGCATCAAAATTTTAGGCAACTGCAGTAGTAACATTGGCTCATCGCCACGTTAATTCCCTCATATCAAAACCAAGTTTTTTCCTAGGAATTCCTTGATTTTCTTTAGCTCCCCTTCAACATGAAGCGTTATTTTGCAAACAAATATTTCTCAGTGTTTCTGAATGAACAAAACTATCAGGCAACTAATAAGAAAATACTGTTATGCTTTTTTTGTGAGCAATTTGAGCGGAAGCTTGGCATATCATCACACAAGGCTTTGTGAAAGAAAACCAGGGTCTGGAACACAACCCCAGTTTAATTAAAAAAGAAAAATCCCCATCCTGTGCCACTTATGCAATCTATATCTTTTCCTGGAAAAAAATAGCTGACATCTTGAGCAAAATATAAGAGATGCCTTGTAATTTTGTTTATAGTCATTTATGACAAATGTTCATTTCTTAAACAAAACAAAATGACAGTGGTAAACTGATTTACCCACTACAGGTAGTCCTTGGCTTATGACCACAGTTGAGCCTAGAATTTATGTTGCTAAGTGAAATATTTGTTAAGTGGGTTTTGTCCCTTTTTATGACTTTTCTTGCCACTTTTGTTAAGTGAATCACTGCAATTGTTAAGTTAGTCTGGTAAGCAAATCTGGGTTCCCCATTGATTCTGCTTGACAGAAGGTCACAAAAGCAAATCACATGACTCCAGGACATGCAACCATCATAAATACGAACCAATTGCCAAGCATCTGAGTTTTGATCATGTGACCATGGGGATGCTGCAATGGTTGTAAGTGTGAAAAATGGCCATAAGTCACTTTTTCCAGTGCTGTTGTAACTATGACCTAAATGTCACTAAATGAACTGTGGTAAGTAGAGGACTACCTGTATTATTATTTTTCAACTGGAATGAATTAAAAGAGATTTGTTTTCCAATGGTGCCTATGAAACTCAGCACTACTGAAATGCCTATAGCCATAAAAGTTATTTCAGGAAGATTTGGTATCAGCCTGGTGACAAAGAAAAAGATTTTGCCTAACATACCAATCACTCTGATGAAGATACTTTGTTCTTCTTGTTGTCCAAGATACGTGTCCTTGGCCTCACATGCATATAGACCCTGATCATCCAAGTCTGCATTGTGAATAGTTAAGGTGGAACTAGTATAATGTTTGTCTCCTGAAACAATGTGCGTCATGGGTTTTACCTCTTTGCCTACCTGTAAAAGATAGTAAAAATAATGCAGTGGAAGTAATACTCAGTACTAGTCCATTTAAAGTTCCAAAGCTCAAACAAGGAACACAGACATAGGCTGTCTCAAATGATTAAATGCTTTTATTTAATATATTTTCTTTATGGTGAAAATATGACAATTGTTCCTCTTTTTTTTAGCATAGTGTCTGATGGTTACACGGCACATGCGACACGGAAGATTTCAGTAGAAAACATACCAATAGCAAACCTGAAATATACACAATAAAAGCGCAGTATACCTTTTCCCTTCTCAAGAAGCAGGAGACTAATTCTCTTTTGCAGAACACTTCTTTGATGAGGATATTGGATAGTAATGAAAATATAAATCTGCTACTCTGGATGATAAAATGCACATCGTTCTCAGCCTCCATGTTATATTTTTTGAAAAAAAACATGAGTTGCCACAGAATATCTGTGTTGATATTACAAGGCAGTATTCCAATCTCAGATACACAGAGGAGAAGTGAAGGGGAAAAAAACGTCTCTAAATTGCAAAAAATGATTTGCAAAGTGACCGAGATGAATTAAATACTGAGAAGATGCTGCTGATTTCTGGATCTGAGCTTTAGGATTGGGGAGATAAGCCTTAAAGCATTCTCCTTTAGGGATTTGGGGGCTCTCTTCGATTTGCACTCATGCTGTGGACAGTCACATAACTTCAATGATAAGGAGGGCCTTTTATCAGCATTTGCTAATAATCCAAGTTCACTCCTATGTAAAGGAGAAAGATCTGCTTTTGGTAAATCATGTGATAATCACAAGGTTGGTGAATTGTAAAGCTGTTGTTTAGCCAGTGCTTGAAAGTGGATCCAGAAACTGTTGTTGATCAGAGGGCAGAAACATCCTGGTTATCCACAATAACCCACCCATTGGAATAGCTTCACTTCTTGCTGGCTCTCGTCTGAGGCCAATTCAAAATGTTCACAGTGAGACCAAGCTACTTATTGGACTATTCCCGTATAATTGACCATTATTTAGGGACTTAAATATAATTAGCACCAACACAACAGATTAGGCTTTTCCTATGGTGGGGCCAACATGAATGAATTTGGAGAGTATATACAATATACATTTTGTCATTTTGGCTTTATTGCGATTAGGAAAGAATGTCTGCAGTTCTTTCTGTAATAATTAGGAAAGGAAATGTCTTTGTTTTGCTTAGAGGACCAAATGTTTAATTGCCATTTTGCAGTAATATCTAAGCATATTTCTCTAAGATATGTCAGGGTCTATTTAATTTCCTATGACTAGAATATAATTCTTTATTGGCCAAGTGTGATTGGACACACAAGGAATTTTCTCCGGTGCCTAAGTTCTCAGTGTACATACAAGCATCAGGTGATAAATCATGATCATAATGATAATGCAATCATCACGAATCATAAGATGGAAAACTCAGTAATAGCCATAAGATAATAAATAAAACAATCAGCACAAGTCATAACAACAAAGTAATAGTCATAAGATGCTAAAGGAATAGGTCATATGAAAGATAAGGATAAATAATAGTGATATAGCCCTACTACATGGTTTGATATCAGACAGTGATAAGGGCATAAGACAGTGTTGTGGAAATTAGAAAACACAGACACAAATGCAAACACTCACACAAAGATCCATGTCTACTTGCTTACCATCTGTCCAGGATAACGCCAGGTATAACTGATCAACTCAATGCCTCTTACTGCACATGTCACAATAATAGTTTCACCTTGTTTCAAAATAGTTTGCACTGCACTGATAGAAACATTGATGAAGGATGAAGGAAAAGGAACTGTAAAAGAACCAAACTAGTGAATAGAGAAGAAAGTTAGCTCACAGCAACTTATATGAAAAAAATAATAATTTCAGCAACCTCAATCAATATGCCGTTGTCTCAGAGTGAGAAAATAGTTTTCTGTGGGTTTCACTGCATGGACAATTTGAAAACTTCAGTATTAATAAAGCATAAGATGTTAACAGTGAATAATAACTACCCCAGTACAGAACTACAAGAGGCTCTAAAGTGGAGTTCTTGATGCTCTCTGGTTTAGTTGTTTGCTTGCAGATGTTTTATTACCCAACTAGGTAACCCCCTCAGGCTGATGATGTTACTTAGTTGGGTAATAAAATGTCTGCAAGCAAACAACGAAGCTCAGAGAGCACCAAGGACTCCATATTCAATCCTGAGGTAGATACATTCTCTTCTATTAGAACCTAAAATCTTAAAATCTTGTGGAGAATAGGACAAAGGCCTTCGCCTGGCATTGGACTTAATCACAGTGGAGATCTGAGTATATTTCTCCTCTGGCAAATCAACAAGGTGACTTGACATGACCATTCCCTCAATTTCAGATTGAAAGAATGTCAGAAAAATAAATTCACATTATAATAATCAGACAAATGCCCAAATGCAAAGCAGCTTAAATATTATAGCTTAGATCAAACAGATTCAGCCTCCTATCACAGACATATCAGCCTTGCTCAAGTGCCAAAAAGTAGTCCATTACTTTGGCAAGTAATGATGTAACTTCCACTGTAACATGTTCACTTCTCGGTTGTTTAATGAATGTGCTCTCACTTAAAACAGAAGTATTTTTTCCAAAGGAAGTAAAGATGGATCTCTTTGCAAAGCTTGCTCAACATTTTTAAGGAAGCAGATACACTTGCTGAGTGGCGCAGTAGTTAGAATGCCGAATTGCAGGGCAATTCTGCTGACTGCTGGCAGTTTGCATTTGATTGGCTCAAGGTTGACTCAGCCTTCCATCCTTCGAAGGTCAGTAAAATGAAGACCCAGATTGTTGGAGTCAATATGCTGACTGCTTAGAGAGTGCTGTAAAGCACTATATAAGTCTAAGTGCTATTCCCAATGCACCCCTATCTAGGATGATGTCTTGTTTTCATTCAGAGAATCCTTTCTGCTCCACACACTGGTTAATGCTATGCATAATATTGAAAACATGTAAAGACTGATGCAAGATTCACCTTGGATAGTGTAGACATAGAATGTTTCAGACTCAAACTCTTCATCTTCTATCATTGCCTTGCAGATATAGGTCCTGTCTTCAAACCGTCCTTTAAAGCCTAGCTGTGGAAAATACATTCCAGGGACTGGATCATTAACCCTCTTTTCATGAAGAGATACTGTGGCATTGGGGTTTGTCACACGGCAAGGAATAATGACTTCACCATAACCTGGGCTGAACACAAAGGTCTCTTCAGGGATGCTTGGTAGGAAAGGCATGGAGAGATCTGTGAAGAAGAATGGAGAGAAGCTGGTTTTGGCATTGACTAGGGAGGTATCTAAAAAGTATCACAAAGACTGAAGACAGATTATTGATTACATCTTAGATGAAATAAGGGATACACTTGTGACCAGTGCAGCTCAGTATGGAATGTGGAAGAGAAATGCAACAATGACATTTTCTCTGCAGAGAGATGTGGCTTGGTTCCTCTCGATTATAATCATTCCATGGTATAATAGATGTGTGTATGTTTTGGGGTTTAGCATGTGTATAAGTGTATGAGTGCATATACATGTACATTTCCATAGCTGGTATAGTAGGCATTGGGTTTAAACAGGCTGCAAGGTTGTAATTTTTATATATGGAGGCAGAGGAATTTATCTCAAAGAAAAAACCCTGTGTCTTAATCCTGTATTGACACCATAGATGGGTTTAAAGGAGGAACAGAATTCTTGCCTCCATCTCAAAGTCTTTATTCTCATAGATGAAATTTGTAGGGTCTCCATTACAGTGGTGGCCACAGCCAGAGCCAAAGGGTATGAAGTATATAAAAAACAAAAGACAGGTTTACATCTAGGCATTCTACTTCAGCTCTTGAAGGCCCTCCCCAGCAGGTAGATGCTAGTAGGAAGAAGAAAATATTCTAGGAAAAGTAGTGTGGCCTGGAAAATGTGTAAATTTGACCGAGTTATCTGGAAAGCCATGTTTGCATCTACAACAGAGTCCTTGATTTTTTTTTCCTATACTTTCTGTTCATTCCACAGAAACAAATACCTGCATATGCATGAAACATAAGTTACTTGATTAAAAGTATCAAAGTTGTGTAATCGCCAATACCTGGTACAAAAACGTAGATGGACTTTCCATCCAGGGCTTGATCGTTGGTACAGGAATATTCACCTGTGTTCAAACCAGTCAAGTTCCTTAATGTGAGGGTGCTGGTAAAAATGGTGCCCTTTTTCTCCAGGACAGTGTCCAATTTGGTATGCTTGTTGTCTGTTTTCCAGATAACCTCGTCGTGGCTTGAACATTTCAGGGTAAAATCAGTGTAGAGGTTGAGGACAACTTCGTGGGCATTGGGAGTAATTTCCAGGGAGCTGATTTCTTTGGCACCTTTAAGAGATCATTTGGAAATGAAATGAGCAAGCGACAGAACATAGGGCATCACGGAAGAATGTACAGAGATGAATGTAAGGACAGGGATAAAAACAAAGAAACATCTTTCTGAATAATCTAAACATTAGAACTGCTTGAAAAGCAAAATCATTTTCCATTTGGAGGCAGGGGTTAGAGGCCAGCCAGTCAAGATATTTGATAAAAAATGAATTCATAGTCATGAATGAAAGGGTCTTGTTTTCCATCTAATGCCTTTTCCTTCTAGGAAGATCCTGAGATTGGACTCCAGCAGAACAATAAATTATGAGTAATTGCACGATGTGAGTATAATTCAGGCATTGTGTACAGAACAACTGGAAAACTCCAGTATAATAAGGATATATTTTTTTCTTCCTAGAACGTGGCATATTCTGGCCCATTAATTTTGACCCCTGTTACTGAAGTGTCTGCTGTGGTTTGTGTTAAAGAAATCTAAACAAGCTAAGGATGTGAAATGAAAATGAAAATTGCCAGGAAATCCATGGGAAACGATACCATAGACAGCATTTTCCTGAATTGCTTCCTACAAATCTTAACAATGTGCCTCTTTTCTCTGCTGGCAGTAGCACCAGCCATACAACTCACCTCTTTCAAACCTCCACATCCTTTCCTAAATAGACACTTCTTACAGTTGAGTCACCAACCAGAAGATGGCTTCTCTTTTTGGATAACTTACTCACCACATATTGCTGATTTACGACACCTGCAACCCTTCCTTATCCAAGACCTCTTTTTCCTTGCAGACTACAATCCTCTGCCTAGTTCAGTCATCACCACCACAAACAGGTGAACCTGCCACCTTAATATCCCTATGAAGTTCAGTAGAGACACTTAACTATTATGCAGGGACACACCAAAACCATCATATTTATGATCTACAGCTCTCACCCAACCAGATCCAATAGTTGTCCATACAGTCCTTCTCCTGCAGGGTCTTTGTAGAAGAGGGGGTTGATAAGAAGAGCAATTCAAAACATACCAGCTGAGTCGGCCACCTAATTTCAGCCTGAAGAGCACAAACTAAAGACACGCAATCTGTCCATGTAAATTAGCAATTTTCATACAAATAGGACAGTGCCCAAACTTTTAAAAAGTCCTATTGGAACTTGAAAAAGTCCTACTGCAAAAAAGCATTGTAATGAACTAAACATTCTAAAAATAAATTGCAATCACATAAGCACCTACCAAGGATGAATTATTGCTGTTTTCAAATTACTGCTGTTTTTAAGACTACACTTGCTCAGATGCACACATCTGGTCAGAGGTCCTCACAATGAGTAACTTCACAAAGTTACAAGTTCACAGAGTAACTTTAGAGAGTTGAAGCTATAAGATTCATGTGCAGTGAAGAATTTATCACTGCCTGAACCCAATTGGCTGTCACGTCCTGGAAACTTTCATCAACCAGGAGGGACAAGTTCTAATTGATAGATGGTTGCACTGATGGCCTTGAGGACCCTGTCCACTTCATCAAGTCCAACAGGATTTGCACTATTCTCAGATAACTGTACAAGATCTTTCCTCAGGTATCTCACATGGATCTGTACTATGTATGGATTCCAACTGGGAACGAACCCAAGTGATTCTATCTGTCAGGTGTTGAACAAAGATGTTCACCACGTTCCTAAAGATATTCACCACAGTTCTCCTGTCCCATTAGGTCATCCTGAACATGGCTGCTGGAGGGTGGACCCTTTGGCTGCAATAAGGGTAGAGAAATAGTAACCTTTTCCACTATTACCACCACAAGCAGCTCTAAGTGTTATCTAGTTGGAGTCATCCTTCATTTTCTTCCAGTGACATTCTAGGTGTGTTTTAACACTTTTCTGAACCTTCAGTTCCTCCATAAACCATGGGAAGAGTTGGAAGTGATGGGTCAAGAGAGGTTACACAGGCATGATCCTGTCCAAAATCATGGCTGCCCTTTGATTCCATGACATTACCAGAGTTTTGGCAGGAACATACAGCACCCTCCCTCCCCCCACTGGATATTCCCCATTTCCCTCTGGAAGCCATTTTGTTGACATTAGTTGCCAGGGACAGATTGCTCAAATGGGTCTGGTCTCCCTGTGGAGAGAACAGCATAAGAGAATCTGAAGGCCAATAGGGCATGATCTCACCATGACATGGGGGATACCAATAGGATATTCCCCACTAATCATGTTGCCATTGCTCCAAGAAGCAGATCATATCTGGCATGTATCTATTATCCCGAATTGGACTTGAGATTATTTGGATTAGGCCCATGGCTGCTATACTAGTCACGATCTCCTGTGCCTCTTCCAAGGCCGTACCCACAGATAGCAGATTGAGGTCCCCCAGGACTATAAGCCTGGAAAACTCCACTACTAACCCTGAGATGGCCTCCAGCAGCTCAGGCAGGGAAACTTTTATGCAGCAGGAAGGCTGATACAGTAGGTAACACTCCCACCTGATCTCAATAGCTCAGCTGCAGGAACGGGTCCCATAAGCCCAGTTTCCCCAGCCCAAACCAACTTGGGAAGCACGGCCCCTGAAGGCCAAAAGAGTTTCTCAAATGACCACTGCCACTTTTCCTCTCCTACACTGGGGTCTTGGCTGGTGCCAAACCCTAACCCAGCTGGGCACATCTCTGAGAGCAGAGCTATTCTCTGCCAGGTCTTAGTGATTGTGCTAGGTCAGCTCGCTCTTCCTTACTACTAACTGACCTGGCATTCATCAGAAACAACTAAACCACAAGGCCTCCAAGGATTTCCAGTGTCTGGGAGTGAGCTCAGGGCGCCAGAACATGCTGTTGGTACTAATCATTGGTGGCATCATCTGCTGCAATGGCCTGCCCTATGGCTCACATAACAACCCATGCCCGTCACCATCATTATGTTTTGCCATGCCCAGGAGCCCACAAGATGGTCTTCGCCGTCCGATCCTGATCTCCCTCCTTTTGGGCCACAGGATTTGCCATTCCCTTCATTCATTCCATATTCACTCCCTCAGACACCTTCAGTTAGTGGACCTCTGCTCCATAAAACTCTGAATTCAACTCAAAGAAGTATTAAGAGCTCCTCCTTTTTAAAATAAACAAATGCCCTAGTTTGCTTTTACTTTTCCCACATCTAAACAGGCTTCGGACTGGTCTGCAGAATATTCTCTTCAAACAGAATTCTCACCCTGTTCTTGACTGTTATTTTATTTACAAAATTGAAAGATGAAAAGGTATAATTATTGCAGAAATAAAATAGGGTGTAGAAAGTCAGCAATGGAACTTAAGCACTAAAATTTAGGGATGGGATTTAAGACAGCAACGGTGGCAGAGCTCTTGGAAACTGGAAACTGTTGTGTTGATTCATTTTATGTCAAGGCTCTGCATCTTTATTTTGTGAGTCCCCAGCCTTAAGGATGTCTCTGAGACAGTTTCTCTAGCTGCCTTGAGTCTTTCTGTTTATTTAACAGACCACTGCAGGAAACCCATGTAACTTTCAGGCTCCGAAAATGATCCCAACTCATGAACTGCAATGTGTCTGTGGCCTACCAATACTCAACTGCTCTTTCTTTCCTTCTTTTGAGAGAAGGAAAAGGAGAAGGCTGAAAAAACAAATAAGAGTTTCAAGTAAACAGAGACATGCCCAATGAATCCTAGGTTTGTCATCTGAGAAGATGGAAATTTCACAGGATAATTTTTGGTATCTGCTTTTGCCTTATCTTCATTAAAAACACCTGCTAAAGATGTAGAAGTCAGCTGAGAAAGTTTATGTTTATGATCCTGGACTCATCTCTAGTAAAACAATTACAAAGAGAAAATTGGACTATTCATGGTAAAAGTGGAGATAGTGTACAAACCAGTTGTTAGAATTCTTTTGGGAAACAATATTTGTGTTCCTACTGAAACAAAGCACAGTGTTATCAACTGAATTGGATTCAGAGAAAAAGACATCAATTCAACATATAAGTGCTTTTTTCCCAATTTTCCCGAAGGCATTAATCTTTCTATCCTCAGGATTAGGGAAGCTTCTAAAACAGATTTAACAGATAATCAGAGTTGGAAGGGACCTTGTAGGTCCAACCCACTGCCCAAGTGGGAGACCCTACACCATTTCTGACAGATGGCAGTCCAATCTCTTCTTGAAAGTTTCAAGTGATGGTGCTCCCACAACTTCCTAGGGCAAGCTGTTCCATTGGTTGATTGTTCTCACTGTCAGAAAGTTTCTCCTTATTTCCAGGTTAAATCTCCCCTTGTTCAGTTTCCATCCATAATTCCTTGTCTGGCCTACAGGCACTTTAGAAAATAGCTTGACTCCTTCGTCCCTGTGGCAGCCCCTCGAATATTGGAAGACTGCTATCATGTCTCTCTTGGTCCTTCTCTTAACCAGACTAGCCAGTAGTCTGGCAAACTCTGCCTGTCCCATGTACAAGCACAAATGGTTTGCATATACAGCAGGGGTTCTATCTTTGAACTCCAACTTTGATTATACCTAATACCACCGCCCTTACGGTGACTATCCAAAAGTGGTGATCAACACTGAAGTAATTTTTCATGGAAATGAATGGGACTTACATATTAAATGGACGGTGAATTGGTTGACTTTTGTTTAATATAACAAATTCTGTAAGCCTGAGTTACAGAAGTGTATGTGTGTATGCATGCATGTGCGCACAAGGCAACGTGCATGTTGCAGCTGAGAAGCAAATGCTATTCTTTAAAGATGTCAAAGCAATTGTATATGGGCAATAAAGTCACAAAATGTGATTCGGAAGGATTTCTTTTTTCTCTACATGAAAGATAGCCAATCGCAGCTTATTTCTATACAAAATGGAAGCTTTGTGAGCACTTTACAAAGAAGCATTTGTACATCCATAATATGCCCAAATGTTTGCTTACTTGTGAGGAAGAGGACCCAGAAGACTAGCATCTTCTGCAAGAAAGCAGGCATTGTGGCCGTCAGTTCTGTTTCATGCAGTATCCTGTAAAAAGAAAACCCAAACCAGTAATGCATACGAATCTGGAGAGTGGGCAGTATATGCCATGGCCATGGGTAGATTAATAAATATTGATACATTAGAATCGTATTAATACAATGAATGAATGACTAATCCGTTCCTTTCTTTAGGGTTGTGTATGGCAGCCAAGGTAGTGACTATCTGCTTTGATGGAGAAAAGCAATGGGCAAGGAAAATTCCTTGCCCTAATTTTGACTTTAATTTGAACAATCAGTATTAGTGCCAAGTGTCTCCACAATGCAAATTGTTAGGCTCGGTACTGATTTTAAAAAATAGACAATGTCTCTTGCTTTTTTACTCTCTTCAGAATATTGGTTTAATTGGGCTTAGCATTCATTGTTGTGGGAAGAAGTCACAAAATCCAAGTAGCAGCTTGAAGCCATTACTGCTGACTGCACGACTGTAGTTTTGGAAAAGTGCTGGCACTGAATCATAACCACAACATCCCAATGTAATGAGATAAGAAGCATCTTGTGACTACTTTTCATAATTTCTTACGTCATCTGAGGTCAATTTACTTTACAATTTGGACATAGCAGCTGAATGAGGTATATATCTATGAAAACCACTATATCTAACCCCACCCTCTTTTTGTATTCATATTCTTGAGTTTCACACATGTTCTCTAGATGGATGAGGATGAATGCTTTGAACTTGGAGATAAATAAGTGTTCTAGAGCTCTGAAGTCCCTTTTCTTGTCTTGGGAACAGTGTGTGTGCTTATGTGAGTATGCTCATGCAAAGTGCCCATAAGTAAATTATGTTTTCCATTTCATAAGTGAAAAATTGAACACCAAAAAACTAGACTGAGCAGACCACTTTCTCAAGTACAGTCAAATTCTTATGGCTGGGGTCTGTATCATTTTCCAGATGGAAGAACACCAACAAGAAAAAAGATTTGGAGGAAAAAATTGCATCATACTAGAAAACTCTTTTGCAACTATACTTAGTTTTGAAGAGAGTGGAATAAAGAACTTGTGATACCATCATCTGATACTATTGATAGCTCCTGGTATTCCAGCTCCTTAAGCATATTTATTTGCCTTCTCAACAGTTTCATACACAAATCTAGAAATACAGTAGGATTGCAAGGCTCTATGTCAGGTGTGTCAAACTCACATCATCACCATCATGTGATGTATCAGGACTTTTTTCCCCTTCACTAAACTGGGTGACACATCCGGGCAGTGGGCCACGAGTTTAACACCCCTGCTCTATGTAGATTTTGTAAAGAAAACTATATTCCCTTCACATTTAACCATAGCTTCTTCTGGCAGCCTAACAACTGTACAAATGTAATGGAGGGTACAAATCCTTCAACATGAAACAAATCCTGTTAGGTCTGCCTGCCTGCCTATCTAACTACCTACCATCTATCTATCTATTTTTCACATCTCTCTCAAAAGAGATAATTAAAAAGCTTTAAAGCTTCACTTTGTCCCCACTAAACTCAGACATGAGAGGGATATAAAGTTTATCAGATGACAGGGCATTGACAGTTCTAGTTACCGTCAACATTACCATTGACAGTGTTTTGAAAAAAATATTTTTACTATGTCTCTCTGAAAATTATGAAATGGAAACTATCTTTTCAATCCAAGCACAGAGGTTAAAAATATAGAGTGAATGGAAAGTATTGATCATGAATTCCTATTACTGTCAACTGTAACATGTAACATCTGTTGCTGATCATTATTACGCAGATGCATCATGTAGCAATATGAAAGCCTGAGAAACCCTGGAAAGGCCAGTAGGACTTACATTTTGGATTTAAAAGCAAAAAATTGCTTCCTGAGGTGTAGTTCCTGGATGATCTCCAGAAGGAGCTGCAGCTTCTATATGCTCCAGAGGGCCTACCTTTTTGCTGTCAGTTTGAATTGTTGCATAAATTTAGAGATTATGCAAATTACAAAAGATGGCATCATGCCAGGCACTATCCATACCCATAGAGGGACAAGGGATGATAAAGCTGATGTTAGCAATGTCATGACATCACAACACATGCCCCACCCACTTTGTAGATCAGGGGTCGCCAACCTTTTGGACCTCAGGGACCACCAAACTCATAATTTTAAATCCCTCCGGTTCTGTGGGTGTGGCCTAATTTGTGGGTGTGGCTTGGTGGTCATGTGACTGGCTGGGCATGGCTTGTATGTAAATATTATAAATATTTATATAAATATTGAATTTTTTATTAAAAAAAGCAACTTTAACCCAAAATCAGGCAAAGCCGGCAAGCAGATTGAATTGCTCATAGAATCATTCAGTGATCTATCTATTTGCCATCGGCTAGCTCAAGTCTCTCAAATTTGCTTGCCGTGAGTCTGCACTGAATAACAGAACCTTCAGTCCTTAGGGAGGTTTGGCTGTGCTTAAAAGCAGAACCAAAGATCTAAAGACTAGCTAGAAAGCAAGAAATCCAACCATTTCCTGCTTCCTAGCTAATCTAAATCTCCCGGCACAGCAGAACAGCTGATGGTCGGAAAAAGGAAAAATAGCAACTTAGCAGGCAAGTTAGTGAGGTAAGGAGTGAGTGGGCGGGGAGGGTTCCCATGGGCCATGTGGGCTGTGCAGCCTTGTGTTTCTGCACAGCCTGGATTAATTGCTTGGGGGGTGGGTGCTCAGGGGGTGACATTTTTTTGCGGCCCACCAAAATTTTCTCACGGTCCACCAGTGGGCCGCGGCCCACCAGTTGATGACTGCTGCTCTAGATGCCTGTGATGACCCGGGGCATGGCACAAAGGCAACACAGTCAGATAATCAGTAGGAGTCCCTTTATTAGCTCCAACTTTGCCCCCAATGTCCTGGTTACCTTCTGGCTAGAAAAAACTCTTCCAGCAACAGCCTTTGACTGCAGAGAATCAAGTCTAAAACATGGTCAACAAAAAATGTAACTATAAGTCCAATCAAGGCAAAATGAGGTAATTAGTTTGGCAGGGCAGGAGCAAGAATTTCAGACATGAAGACACAGCAATAACTCAACATGGTTGGGAAGACACCAGGAACACAGATAAGCAAAGTCAACACAAGATAAACACACATTTGCTCCCAGCAGTTGCCACACTCAGCATGCATCTCTTTTAAACTCCCTACCCAGCTGTGGCTGATGAAGGGAATCAGGGCCCTTTCCTCCTCCATAAGCCACACAACCCATGCTGCTCTCTTCTTCATTCCTCCCTATGTGCCCTAGGATGAAGAGGGGTGGGCTTGAGTCTTCCTCTGACCTCTCTCCCTTGTTCTACCTCTCTCCTGCTCTGCCCAGCCAGATTTTGCATTTCCCCAGTTTCCTCCACAGCCAATGGAGCCACACCCCCACTCCCTATCAGCTGTTCATCTTCCTCCTCAGGGGCATGACAATGCCCCAAAGGGATGGAGTTGTGGCATGAGGGCTCAATGCTTCCTTTGCTATTCTGAAGAAACTGGCAATTTAACGTGGACTATATGCTGAGGACCACAGAATAATATAGGGAAAAGTATCTTAGAAGCAGCTATTAAAAACAGTAGAATTAACTTGGGAAATAAATGGCTGCTGACTGCCTACTGTTAAAGGGGAGAGATTTTACAGTTTTGAAGATTAACCTGAAAATTATCTGCAGCTAGGAAGGGGCTACTTGCCTGTGAATCTAACTCTTTCTGTTAACACTTAAACAAAACTTTTTATTTTGCATATCTAGATGTCCTAAGTTGTAGCTATTTCTACAACTGGACATCTATTTCTTTAAAAAAGCGACTCCTTTATGCTTAGATAGTAGTATCACTTTAATTTAAACTACACATTGCACTAATGGCCTTCTGGATGACCTTTATTTTTCAGGAATTAAGGAACAGCAACAGGATGAAGCACAAGCAGAAGAGCGTGTAACCTTTCTCTGTCCCAGGCCCTAACTGTTCTCCCTGAAATTCCTTCTTAATATAAAAAGAAAATGCCTTTGCAGCAGCCTTTAAATTTGCTCAATAAATGGTGATCATGCTATTTACCAGGTTGGGCTTCAAAAATTTTAGCAGAGGGTTCTCTGCCTAGTTGCTGGGTGGGCATGGCCATGGTGGGCGTGGCCTATTCGGCCTCCTGCACCATAGTGTGTGTGGGGGGGTGTTTTTCCCCTCCCTGGGCTGCGTAGGTTTTCCTTGAGCCTCTGGGAGAGCAAAAATAGCCTCCTCAGACTCTGGAGGCTGCCTGGAAGCTGGAAACGGGCCCATTGCTGGCCTACCCAAACTCGGGGTGGGGTTCGAGCCTCCGTGCATGCCTTGCGCTTACCTGAATCCAAAATGGGGCCGTGTGGGGACTTCCTGGGAGGGGAAGGACAGGGTGGGCGAGGCCAGCCAGGAGTGGGATTTGGGGGTTTTCCAAACTGCACAAAACCTTAGCTAGGGACTCTCCTGAATCCCTGCGAACCCCAGCAGCCCACCCCTGGCTATTACCTTATTATTTCCAATACTGGGGTGCACTTCACAGTCTAGGTTTCAGGGAGAACTGAAAGACTACGAGGATGTGAACATTTTTTTGCTTTTGATGGAAGTAAACCAGACCCAAACTTTAATGCAACCACAGAATGTGGGTGTCAGCTTTTGAACCAGGGCATACTATGGCCTGTTGGTTGTATGCTCAGCATGCTAGAGAAATAAATACTTAAACGATATATGATCATCATCTATTTTTGTCTTGCTCAGCTTGAATTAATTGATTTACCAGTAAATCCCAATGTGTTTCTGATTTATTCAGCAACTTTCCCCCCCAAAAGCCTTGGGATTCTTTCTTTTCCTGCTTTCCCAGGTTTTGTCTACAAGAAGAATTTATTTCCTGTTTATTTAGCTTTGGGAACAATTTTGTGCCCTAAATTGCCTAACTGCATCTACATCTAAATCCACTCAAAATAATCCTGACCTAAACTAAGTGTCTTACTGTACAACACTCAGCTCAGAGTTATTTCCACTACAATCTGAATTTATGGACAGATTCTATATTT